AACAACCGTTTTCCCATCTATTAAACCATTTTCTGCAAATATAAATTGCGGTATGCCACCAAGTTCCGCTTCTCCTTCAACCTATCCTATATACATCACAAGTACGAATATTAAGCTTTTTCCCACGAATACCTAAAATAATAATAAACCGAAGTCTACGGCAAACTGTAATCACAGAACAGTATAAGGATACTTCAAAAATTTATATTACCGTACCTAACGGACGATAACGCGCATATTGAATCCGTTTATTTTTTCTCAAAAATCGACCGTGCGCCTAATGTATGGATCCGGTAGTGTTTCATTGTCACCACTCAAAACCAGTACAAGCATTACTTTAAAAATCTGTTTCGTTTCATAGCCCGGCCTCATGTATGAATGAAAACTCAATCTAAGCAATTTGTTGGGCGCTTTCCGTAGTATGTGCACTAAGATGGCGCACAACCTGATAACCCTAACCTGGTACACATACTATTTCAGGTTGTGCGCCATCTTGGTGCACATACTACGGGAGCACTATTTATTGTTAGTGCGCCTTAAAATGGGGTGCAGAGATGCTGTGTGGAAGTAACGATGACTATTCTATTGTTGATGAATTTGTTTATCTGAAAATTTCTGACTTCGTTCAGACGGAACGTTGCAGAAATATGTTTATGTCAGTGTGCAACAAGTCTCTTGAATCACTTAGAATAGCAACCTATCTGTTTTGATAAATGGGAATAACATAATCTCTTTTCACTAAATAGTAGTAAGTTGCTGATCTTACTATTTCGTTGAATGAGATCATGTTATGTTTACTTATCACTTTAATACTATCTCGTTCAAGCATCCTTGTGGTAACTGATACATACGGTTTCAAAGCAGGGAGTAAACAAGGTGGAAGGACTTGCAGTTCAGTACACAATACCCTAGTACACGCCATATCTATTTTGAGTTAAATAGTGGATTATTCATTTTTTACTTTAACAGTATTAGTTACTTGATCGATGTTCAGTAAAAAAACATAAACCAGGAGTGTGTCACAGACAGCCCGCGGACCACAACCGGTACGCGAAGCCATTTCGTGTGGCCCTTTTCGACACTCAGATTGTTCCCCACCAAGCACAAAATCCTAATCCAACAGATCCAACAGAAGGCGCTCACATGGGTAAAAATACACGTTTTTTTGCTTTTGTAGCTGCAATAAATCTTCTGTTATGATAAGGCTAAGCGATATTTTTTCGTGTGGTCCAGCCAGATTTCTGAAGTTGGTTATATGACCCACTGACTAAATAATGTTGCACACCTCTGGTCTAAGCAATAAACTTTCTTCTTGGGCAAGAATTCCCCTAGTTGTGTGATGTAAGACTTTTAAACATACTCAGTATTATACAGAATTGCATATCTAGCTGTATATTCTCAAACGTGGGCCAAACTAAAACATCATATAATAGGATAATTTAATCATGGCCCATACGTAATATGAACTTAATTCGATTGCGGTTTTGAAGCTTTGAATATTTCATAAAGGACGGAAAACGCTGCTCTCGCTATTGAATTTCAGTGTCTGAATAAAACAGCGAAATCACCATGCAATTTACGGTTAATAAATATTGCTGGCTAAAAATGACTTCTGATTTTTAAAGGGAATTTTACGAAGGAAGATAACGCTCACTCACTCAGAATTAAAGGAACGTCACAACAAAAAGTTTAGATATTAGTGGCAATCTGCAATTGCTAAAATCTGCGTCTCACTCTTGAAAGATAGTAATGACGCCATCGGTACTGACGTAAACAAATTTTTGTTTGCTATTTATGCTATATACGATTCTAGCGATCTGAATGGCTGGACAACTCGGCAGGCTCGAGACTTCGCTGGTACATCTTTGTACTTACCTTGTGCATTAGTGACTGCCTGCAACTCTTCTATTCTCTATACTCTACGTCATCAGTAGTGACGTAATGGAAGTCCCCACCTCCTTCAGCTTGTAATTCCTCGAGTGAGTGTCTCAAGTGAGCGACAAAGATCAAACAATCCGCTGCGTAAACAAAGCCGAGTGTTTGCTCAGACAAAATGTAAGCGGATATATTCGAACAATTGCGATAACTTTCCGCACAAATATATAATGTTTGGGACTCCATCATTTTTTGTCTGGCGGATCCAGTTAGGGTGAGGAATGTAGACTTCGCTGGAAATTCTTAACCCCAAACTAGGTAATTACTAATTTGTAATTATAAAACATGGCGATGGTGTTTATCTCAAATCTCACATTTTTTGCATTAGTGGGCTTTGTGCAAAAGATCCTTAAACCCATGTGTGTTTATTCGATGACCGTGCATTTGGACTCGCATATCCGCGGGATCTATCTATATGCGGGTACTAAAATCCATGTGTTAGGGTTAGTATGGGTTCCTTAAAACGAAAAGAATTCTATAGGTGCAATAGTATGCAGGTGCAACTGTCGTTGGTTCAAATGTACTGGAACTGTTTATTCTGTATACACATGGCTCACGAAGTTGAAGTTACTTTCTAGTTAAAAGGGCATTAAATGCAATCACTTACAAATCTTAAGTTTTTGCTATTTTCCCTATCCCAACCCGGACAGCCAGCTCTGAGATTCAAAATTTTAAGAACGGGTTCTCGTTGTGCTTATCCCACTAACAACGGGTTCTTTTGTTTGAGGAGACTATGCCGGACTAAAAGCGCTATACCAATGAGAAATATAGGATTACGTGAGAAACAAAACTTCAAAAATGATTACTAAAACCAAACTGGGGTATCGCAGTTGTGAGGTTTGAAACTTTGAGAACGGGTTCTCTTTTGCATCGAACTCACTAACAACCGGTTCCCTCATTAACAAACCCATCCCAAGTTTATATGGCTCTCTAAAAATAGAGATGGGAAAACTACGACCCGCCGGCCAAATCCGGTCCGCTGGGTGATTCAATATGGCCTGATGCTGTCACAACCAAACTGAAACAAAAATTTGCTGTTTTAGCAAAAAATAACTTTACGATCAAATTTAGTTTTAGTACGAGGCTTCTCGTTTTTCATTTTTGATATTGTAACACTGTAAATACTGTCCATTCACATGGCCCGCCAGTCTCGATGAGCAAAAATTTGGGCCCCGGCCCGAAAATCTTGCCCCTGTTCTATAACAATACAAGAACCCAGTACGATTTCATGATAATAACAACTCAAACGTCATATTTACTAACAATATCACTACCTGAGCTACTTTAGCACGGCACACTTTACATTAATCCAATACAGGGGTGTGCAACCTGTGGCCCGCGGGGCAAATGCAGCCCGCATAGAATAAATTGCGCGGCCTACAGAGAAGTGTCAATTTTAAATGATGTGCGGCCTCGAAACAAGTTTTTAATTTAGTAATTTCAATGACATGGCGTTGCGAAGAATACTTTACTATGCGTGACGGCTTCTCTTTTGTATTGAACTCACTAACAACAGGTTCCCTCATTAAAAAAAATATGTGTATGTCACTACGTAAGCTACATTACTATGACACGCTTTAAATGAATCTGATACATACTTCTGTAGGTGCTCATGTAGTATGTGTACCAGGTTAGGCCATAATTTTATTCCGATTTTCCTTATTTTAGTTCTGTTACGAGTTCGGGGACTGTCTATGTAAGCCAAGTGAATATACCCCCTGCCCATATGCTTCCGTCCCTTCACACAACTTGATGTAAAGTAGGCGAACAAAACTAGTTACCTCCATACACATTGGTACACATACCTTTGGAGCTACCTACTTCTGTAAGCTAAACCACTCTGCAACTAGACTCGCTACAAAACAAATCCTACAGACGAGACCCTCTCGACTGAATGAGCGATTGTTACGATGCCATTCACCAAATGTAACGCTTCGCTAGCTTTGTTTTCAGAATTTTACGACGGCCCCGTGATGACGTCACATACTGTTAGCCACAATTGTTGATTTAATTATTATCGCTGTATGGGTGAAATTTTGAAACGGCGTTTTTAGGAACCTTCCGGATCTTTTGTCAAAGTCCCCGGCACTGATACAAAAATGTGAGATTTGAGAAACAACCCTCGCCACGTTTTTGAATAACATATTAGTAACTATCCAGTTGCGGTTAGGAATGATTTAAAAATTGGAATTTCCGGTGCAATCTGCAGTTCTAATCCTAACTAAACAATTACAAATTTCTTTATTTTGAGCGTTGGCGGGGTGTTTGTACAAAATATCCCGCCCTTTTCCCCCGATACGGCTCTGCACAAGCAGGTTGCGTAATTAACCTTATTTTGAAAAAAAGGGAAAATGCTAGATTTCAATTTTATTTTAAGATATCACGCCCTCGTGTTGACGCCGTATTTTGCTTTTAGCTATATTTGTTAATTACTTAACGATCTTAGGTATTTGTCTGTTTGCTTGTTTGTTTGTTTGTCTGTCTCTTAGATACACGCGATATCTCACGAAAGCAAAGTTGAATCTGCTTCAAATATTGCATATTGTCGCATAATTAACGAGGTATTAATTAATTAGTGATTGGACACACGATGTCACTATGGAGTAAAAGCGAATGAAGCGAAACCGCAGTTTCTGTTTTGTGACCACTAACTTTCGATCGATAAGTCTTCGGTCTCCGACCGATATTCTCATTTATTTGTTATTCAGTTAAAAATTAATTTCGGATTATTCTTTGATCGTTAATTGGAATAAATTTATCAACTGATGCTCTTGTCGCGCAGCATATTGGTATTCAAATTAGTATCCGAAAATACCTAACCCTGGTTGTTATTGGGGGGAAATGAGATATTTCCCTAAACCAACCGCAACTCCAAAATCTTCTTGCTAGTCCTCAGAAGCATTGACATTATAGTCTATTGAATTTGACGCCAGAGTTTTTGTTATCGGAATTTGATTTTCTTGGAGTCCGACGGTGGAGTCGGAATCAAAATATTTTTTAACCCGGAGCTGGAGCCAAAAACCTTTTCATGCCACGCCCCAAACCACACCCCTTCTGAATCCCAATTTTCATTAGGTTAAAATGTATTGTTAGTATTTAATTGAAATGTTGAAATAACAAAATCAGTTCACATTAAATACAATTTTGAATCAAACTGCTTTAAGAATATTTAACTTTTTCGTAGCATAGAAGGCAATGAAGCGAAAGATAGCAGCATTAGAATAGCGTTATTATGCTCGGGTAAATCTGGCAATTCACACCTCAGTGGCGAACCGGGTAAAATTAAAGAAAACCAGAAGTAGAGTCAATGAAGCGTAATATATCAGCTATAATATTATGTTGGCAAGATTTGGCCATTCTGGCAAGTTACGCTTCAATGAAACGAAAGAAAGCGGGTGGGGGGGGGGGGGGGGGGGGTGTATATTTGATATTGGGGTAAAAGTTGGGGTGGATGTGTTTTCAAACTCATACTTTCAAGTTTCCTGTCGGAGTCAATATTTAGAAAAACCGGAGTTGGAATACTGAGAGTTACGAACATAAACGAAAAAGTTTTTGTAGAAAAAAAAAAAATGTCACCGCGTAATATGACTTCGAAACAATGAAATACTGCGTTTTTGGCACAATGACCGTTTAAGATATACAAAAAGCACTGCAGGTAATTATGTTTAATTTATCGCCTTCCAGCTTCAAGTCGAAGTCAAAGTTTTGAAACACTCAAATCCGGAATTTTTATACTACTCAGAGGTAAAAGCGGAAAAGTTTTTGCCGCCAAAATGCCAATCCGGAGTTGCGAGTTAGACGCCGACTCCGGGCCCAGAACTAAGGTTTCGGACCCGGTTTAAGAGAAAATTGCATTATATTTGGCACAATAATTGGTTGAGATTGTTAAAAATTCCTTTAAAACATTAAAAAGCACAAAACGTCTCAAATTTAAGAGCAAAAACGTAACTAAAATTGATTTTTACCTATAGCGTACAAAAAAGTTTTTCAATATTTTGTTAAGTGCAAATTAAAATAGTGGTGTTAATATTTTAGAAACAATGCTGTTGAGGGGATGATTTTCAATAACATTTTCAAACCAGAAGTTAATTTGAACAACCCGGAAGAGCTTCAGGGTTCGTGTCATGGGTTCATTATTTGGTTTAAAATCGGGTTATGTCGGAGTTGGAAATTAATTTTTGTGTTTACGGTCAGGAGGCAAACTTAGATTCATATTCTTGTCAGACTGGAGAGGAAAGTCGTAGCTTGAGTTGTTTTTGAACTGAAGAAAATATTTTTCCGTCAATGTAACGATATTGAATATCCTGAGACCGGGTCTATGAGCGAACAATATTTTCTTCAAATATATTTTTTGATATTATGAGTCACAATTCTCAAATTAATGACCAATCAGGAACATGTGAAATACTACTTTATCCTTGATTGTCTGTAAATATTTACTGTTCAAAGGGATGTACAAAGTCTAGTGACGAGTCTAGATTGTCTGGAATTATTTATTCGAATTCTTGCATCAATATGTCACGTGATGTATGGTAACGGTGTTTACACTCCCTCTGTTGTGTAACCGTTGTTCCGCACTCCCTGCTCTACGTCCGATCTGTCACTGACGCTCTGATGTGCTAAAAAGAAAATTGAAAATATAGGTCTTTTCATTTTTATTTTTGGAAGTGGGGAAAGGGGGGGGGGGGGGGGGGGCGATAAAGAAGTTTTTGATTAAATGGAGTACTTCCGTAGCCTCAAAGATGAAGTATAGTCGAAAAAATATATCTGGACTTCAAAAGCTTGCTCCGGTTTGCGATAATTTTGACTCAGACGTAAAATCAGATTTTTCATTGATGGCATAATGAAATACTGTATTCATTTATGATTTCATAATTGAATGCTGAATTGATGAATATACCGTGCAATTGTGAAGAAGAATGGCGTCAAGTAACTTATGACGACATTATGCAGTGTATGCGTTCAAATGTACTTATTCAACCGTATCAGATATGCCCGTAGTTAGGTGCACGTTACCCCTATCAACCACATAGTTTTAGACATTTTTAATTTGAAAATTGATGGATTTGCTTATAGTTTAGATAACTTTTTCTATGGATTTGAGTGCAAAACGAAACAATACAGTAATTGATGGGAGAAAGCAGAGTAATTAATATGGCAATCAATTTCAACAAATTCCAATAACTATATATATAACATGACTTATGAAGAAACGCACCGCACATCATACAAAGGCGTTCTCCCTAAAATATAACAAACAAGAACATGGTATGTGTACCAGGTTAGGGTGAGACCATAATTTTATTCCAATTTTCCTTATTTCAGTTCTATCACGAGTTCGAGGACTAGGCAAGTGCCTGTAGTATATGTACCTGAAAATATGGCCTAACCCTAACCTGGTACACATACTACGTTCCGGTGCCCGCCATCTTGGTTCACATACTACGGGAGTACCGGAATCTTTACCTAATCAACGTTCTAAATAATCCGTCCCTATGGTAACCTACAAGACCAAATTTCATGCAGTAATCTACTGCCTCTAGTGACGTCTCATGCAATTGGTGAAAAGCGATGACTCATGCAATGGGTTTTCTGTGTCACCTTGTTTCGTTATTTTGTATTTTTCGCTTTGGATTCTTTTAAGTTCTTCAAAGGAAACAATTTGAAAATATATTAGTTGGTTATTCAAAAACCACCGCCACGCCTGGGGTGTAATATATTTGGTAGAAAACCCCGAATTACAGTTCTCCCACAAATTTATTAACCTCTACTTATCAACAAAAAACGCGGTGTAGAGTCGGAGTCAAACCTTTAGAACTATCCGGATCCGGAAGTCAAAATATTAGACGTTTTTATGTTGATAGCCAAAGTCTAAATTTTTGCAATCGGAATAAACTAAGTGGTTTAGTTGAGTCGGAGTCAACTTGGATGAGTGAAACGGAACCGGGACAATGTGGAATTGTGAATTGTCGGAGTCGATCCGGATTTAGGAGCTGTGGTCGAAGTCAATTCTGTATTGCGAGGCGGGATTTGAGTCAATCCGGAATTGATAGTCGGAGTCGAGCAAATTGTAAGTCAAAATTGGAGTCAATCCAGAATTATTAGTCGGAGTTGGAGTCTATTCTAATTTTTCAACCGGAGCCGGAGTCAAATTCTTTTTGTGAGTTGGGGTTGAAGTCAATCCTGCGGAATCGATTTTGTCTTGTGTCAGCCACTCAACTAATAAGCCTGCTACTCAACGTATTCACAATTAAAAGTCACCCAAACCTGATCTCAGTTTCTTTTCTGTCTTTTTAAGATCGATCTCTTCTTCATCTGTGAAAATAATAGATAATTTTAGGTTTTTCTAGGATAATGCCTTTTTTGGGGGTTAATTCGTTTTCCGGGCCGGAACCCTGGCTGGAATGCTTGTCTGAAGAAGTCCGACCTTGGTCAGACAACGCGCTACAAAAATATCATTGTGTGAGTGTGCAGCAAGACTCTTGAATCACTTAGGATAGTCAACTCCGCTCTTTCTGCTGCATCCTTGCGTTATACGCATACGGATGCATTTGCACACTCATACTCTATATCAGAGCTACTCAACTATTTTCACTGAAGGTCCATTCACAAAACTTCAAAATTACTGGGGACCGCACATTTCAGAAAATTTATTTTATGAAATAAACAAATGCATTATTAAATTAAATACAAGAGCAATGAATGTCTCACAAATATGGACACAAATGTTGCACATCTGTACCAGTAAGGCAAACAATATGGCCGTGTATGTTAATAGTAATAAAATCATCAAAAACTATAAAACGATGCTTATGCTTCAGACGCAGTCCATATTGAATGATCGAAAGGTCCGGATTCGGACCGCGGTCCGCCAGTTGAGTAGCCCTGCTCTATATCGTACTTCGCGCATGTACGGTACTGTATTTGTCCTGTTTTAAAATACACAACAGACGTTGCATGAAACGGGTTCAAGGCAATTTTCAGCGGGTATGTTATTAGATTCACTCAACATCAGACGCAATCGACATTGACCGGTCGGTCGATCGCAATGGACGTATTGGCCACCTCTGCCATAAAGCAAGGAAGAGTAGTTAGTTCACGTAACCCCAACTGATAGTAACAAACTCAAACTTACGTTTTAAAATCTCCGATCCCGGTAAAAATCCTTCATAACTGATAACCGGGTAGGCTGGCTCGTTATGCTTCGCAACATCAAGTCCCTGAATTTCGATGTCTCTATCCACTCGAAGAATCCCTATCAATCGCATGATACCAAAAAGGATCAAACTAAACATCGCAGTCCAGAATGTGATGACCAGAGCTCCAAGTAAATTCCAACCGAATCCCTGAAATAAAAGCAAAAATAAGTCAAGTGAAGTAAAGTAAATTTTATATATACGCTTTAATCTGCACCACCCAGTAGCGTAGCATCCACCCCCGCAACCCCCGCGGTCGCGGGAGGGCCCACAACGCAAAGGGGCCCAAGTCGTTAGAATTTAGAAATTTAGGCCGCAAACCAAAAGCTACAGTGCAAAACAAGTAATGCACATCTTATAACGTTGATGTTAGTTGTGCTCAAATCGTTTTGTTACGTAACAATGCCAGGGAGTCGTCGATTTTCGGCGTCTAGTGGTTTGATCGCCCCGGTGAGAGTCTTGCTACGCCACTGGCACCACCCGTCCCACCTACTGCAATTGAACCACCCTCCCGCCCGTCCGAACTGCCTCAATCAAACCACCCTCACCACTCGTACCATCCGTCCCACTCGCAGCACCCGCACCAACCGTCCCAATCGAACCACCCACCCCATGAGCACCACCTACCCCAATCGAACCACACACCCCACTAGCACCACCTGCCCCAATCGAACCACACACCCCACTAGCACCACCTACCCCAATCGAACCACCAACCTCACTAGCACCACCTGCCCCAATCGAACCACCCACCCCACTAGCACCACCTGCCCCAATCGAACCACACACCCCACTAGCACCACCTGCCCCAATCGAACCACCCACCCCACTAGCACCACCTGCCCCAATCGAACCACCCACCCCCACTAGCACCACCTGCCCCAATCGAACCACACCCCACTAGCACCACCTGCCCCAATCGAACCACCCACCCCACTAGCACCACCTGCCCCAATCGAACCACCCACCCCACTAACACCACCTGCCCCAATCGACCCACCCAGCCCACTAGCACCAATCGAACCACCCAGCCCACTAACACCACCTGCCCCAATCGACCCACCCAGCCCACTAGCACCAATCGAACCACCAACCCCACTAACACCACCTGCCCCAATCGACCCACCCAGCCCACTAGCACCAATCGAACAACCAACCCCACTAACACCACCTGCCCCAATCGACCCACCCAGCCCACTAGCACCAATTGAATCACCCAGCCCACTAGCACCAATCGAACTACACACCCCACTAGCACCACCTGCCCCAATCGACCCACTCAGCCCACTAGCACCAATCGAACCACCCAGCCCACTAGCACCACCTGCCCCAATCGACCCACCCAGCCCACTAGCACCAATCGAACAACCAACCCCACTAACACCACCTGCCCCAATCGACCCACCCAGCCCACTAGCACCAATTGAATCACCCAGCCCACTAGCACCAATCGAACTACACACCCCACTAGCACCACCTGCCCCAATCGACCCACTCAGCCCACTAGCACCAATCGAACCACCCAGCCCACTAGCACCACCTGCCCCAATCGACCCACCCAGCCCACTAGCACCAATCGAACAACCAACCCCACTAACACCACCTGCCCCAATCGACCCACCCAGCCCACTAGCACCAATTGAATCACCCAGCCCACTAGCACCAATCGAACTACACACCCCACTAGCACCACCTGCCCCAATCGACCCACTCAGCCCACTAGCACCAATCGAACCACCCAGCCCACTAGCACCACCTGCCCCAATCGACCCACCCAGCCCACTAGCACCAATCGAACAACCAACCCCACTAACACCACCTGCCCCAATCGACCCACCCAGCCCACTAGCACCAATTGAATCACCCAGCCCACTAGCACCAATCGAACTACACACCCCACTAGCACCACCTGCCCCAATCGACCCACTCAGCCCACTAGCACTATCGAACCACCCAGCCCACTAGCACCACCTGCCCCAATCGACCCACCCAGCCCACTAGCACCAATCGAACCACCCAGCCCACTAACACCACCTGCCCCAATCGACCCACCCAGCCCACTAGCACCAATCGAACCACCCACCCCACTAACACCACCTGCCCCAATCGACCCACCCAGCCCACTAGCACCAATTGAATCACCCACCCCACTAGCACCACCTGCCCCAATCGAACCACCCACCCCACTAGCACCAATCGAACTACACACCCCATTAGCACCACCTGCCCCAATCGAACCACCCGCACCGCTCTTCCCATCTACACCACCCGCTCCACTCGCACTAATTTCCCACGCATACCACCTTCCCCAACTTGGCACCTGCCCCACTTGCGCCAACTGCCACACGCGTCTCATTTATATTTACCTGGAATGCTTTCCAATGTGCTCCATATATGATTCCTCCTACAGCAACCCCTTCGTATTCCTGTCCGTTGATCGCAAAAATTGGTGCAAGGATAATTCCGGTCATCCCACCGCCGAAGTGAACTATTGTAATAATAAAAGCGCAATGTTTAAGAAAGTGGAAACATGTTTGGTGGTGTTAATACAATGAGCAACTTTACAAAGAAATTGATCGGAAGGCTGGTCAAAACCAATTAATTTACTATTTAAAAAAATGAATTGTATTTTCAAATATGGAATAACAGGAAAGATTACTCAAACAATTGTATATGAAAAGAAATTTAATTTGGCGATGTGGGAATGTTAAGATAAACTTTGTTTTCGTTTATATTATGTCAAAACCTCACAAAATGCAAAAGTTCTGGATCAGTGGTTTTCAACTTTTTTTTCTTTTGTGGCCCACTTTCGTGGCACAAAAATTTTGCGGCCCATTCACTTTCTTGAGCAAGGGTAAAGCTATAACAAAAAAAATCTTTCCGCAAAGATAAACACTTCCACTTTAATAATTTATATGTGAACGAAAAAGAGCGTCATCATCAGTCATTGCTACTACAATCAAAATTAATTGAATGATCAATAACTCTAGTAATTTTCAATAGCTCTGTGTCCCGCCTGAAACGGTTTCTGCGGCCTAGCTTTCTCATGCAGGGAAAAAAACTGCTACGTAAACAATAAATTCTTTCCGCCAAGATCATAGACTTACATGAACATCATTCACCGCTACTACCAAAATATTTCAATCAAAAACTCTAGAACGATTTAAAAGCTTTGGGGCGTTCTGTAGCCCAGTGATAAGTCATGACCATACACAATGGAACAACAACAAAACCTAAATTATGGATAACAAACTCACCTGCCACGGCATCTAAAGGATCATCCACTTGCATTTTCAACATAAGGTGATGCCAGGAAAGAAAAGCCATGCCAGCTACGGAACCGATAACACAGGCCGCCCACGGGTAGATGTCGTTGCAGCCAGCACACATTGCGACCATACCTGAAGAATTTTAAATGTTAGTGACAATGAGTTAATGTAACTAAGTTAATGTAACGATATGGCTATTGTATTCAATGCTTATCCGATTAGCTGATTTGATTATTCCTGACAATTAGGCTTTTTAATTTGAAAAATAATATATCTCTGAGCTGCTTCTATACATGACGTTCATTCACACATTAATTCGATGGGATAATCCAATATTACTCGTATAAACATCACTACATCTTGCCTAACATGATATTGAAACATAATAAAATGATTAATTCAAGATTATAAAAATAATAATTCAAGTTCGGATAATTCATTGATATCCGAATAAAAAATTAACTCCTAGCACTACTTCTTACCTGCTAAACCAGCGTTGATCGTAATCAAAAGCGACCAGAAGTTTTCTTTTCCTCTCACTCGGTTCCAAAGTTTGTACGCTAGGAGCGCTATGATAGCTGATGAGGACCCCCCAATAATTGTATTCATGAAGACCAGTGCCACCTTAGCGCCATCTCCTGGACCTGTGATTGTGAGAAGCGATCCTCCATTGAAAGCCAGGAATCCAACGAATAGGATGAAAGCGCCCAATGCCGTGATCTAGAAGAAAATTATGTAGTTAAGTTTTATGCGCTCACTTTCTATAACTATTTTCGGACCTCCTGAAGTATGCGCACCAAGATGGCGCACAACCTGAAATCAGGTTGTGTATCAGGTTAGGGTTCAGGTTATGCGACACGACATCTTGGTGCGCATACTTCAGAAATACCCTATTTTCCTTGGCAAAGTTAATTTTTTTAAACTGTAAAAATTTTGAAAGAAAGTAGGGTGCAAGGAAAGAGGTAGGTGTGGTTTAAGGTTTGATTGGTCATTGAAGCCTTGATCGTTGAAAAATAAGCGGGTTGGCGCAATTTTTTTCGTTTCGCAACAATTTGGAGTTGAACATTCCAGGGTGTTGAGAGGTACCTTACCCCCTTTCTTGGTTGTTGCAAATTTCAAAACGATTGTCCCAGCAGTTGAAGAGAAGGGCGATTTTAGTGGCAAAACGATTTATTGAACCGCATTACACCAAGATTCTGCTACCCCTAGTTTGCATATTACGCTGAACCCCTGACAAAGCGGTATATTTTCATGTAAGTTAATAATGATTGATGGCCGACAGCAGAACAAAGCGCGTTGCCACATTTTGTCAAAACAACTTTAATGGACCTCATACGCCATAATAGAAGATCGTTGTTTCCGCGAAACCTAATTTCCATTTAGGTTGAAAACCCCCCACAAAGTCGGATATTTACATGTTAGTTGTAATGATTGATGGCCGACAGCACACCAAGGCGCGTTGCCACATTTCGTTGAAACGATTTCAATTACCCATTTGCGCCAAAGCCTATTGAATAGAAAGCCGATGATTCCGCATAACTCTGTCTAATTTCAAAATGTAATATTTGCGCAATTTGCATTCTTAACATTACCTGGATAATTACTGATTTTCTTATGTTGAGCAATGGCGGGAGTGTTTTTGCGGGGATTTGTAAAAAAGATCCCTCGATTACGATTCATTCATAGCTTTGACTAAAAGAACAGTGAAAGCTGTTTATAGAATCGGTAACAGTCTTTCCGAAGTAGTAGCTCCAACATAAAAGTGACCGCATGTGTAAAGCCTTGTTATGAGCGAACCCCATTTTAAATAGATTGCTTTCAATTTAGCAGTGAATACTGTTATGCTTTTTCATAGAAAAAAACATAAGTGAAATATTTGCATGTTAGATATGATCTAATGGCTGGCAGCATATTACGACACGTTGCCACATTTTTTAATAACAAGTTTAATCGCCCGAGTGATCGATGCTCGAATATATGAACACGAAAGTTAAAACAAGGTCGAACACGCGATCTGTCACAGCAGACTACCTTTACCAGCCGTCCCGATGTCATAAAAACATGGAAGGTACTCGTCATGATGTCATAAGACCGTGATCCCATGAATAAATATATACCAGCAGAATTTTAGATGAAACCTCATGAATAGATTAATCCCTGCCCTATTTCTATTTGAATTGATCGTATCATTATTTGCTGGCATTGTCACAAGGCACGTTGCAAGGTTTAATTGACTGGAACTGTTTCAATAAACACGTTAATCGCATTTACTGGCGTGTAACGCATCACCATATTTTTATATAGTTTGAGAAGCCATTGGTATGTCGGGGTTGCCCGTAACTTTGCTCAAAGATGAGTCTCCTTTACTTCTGAGTAGTGAGTGCCCGTAACTTTGCTCAGAGATGAGTCGCCTTTACTTCTGAGTGAGTGCCCGCAACTTTGCTCAAAGATGAGTCTCCTTTACTTCTGATTGAGTGCCCGTAACTTTGCTCAAAGATGAGTCTCCTTTACTTCTGATTGAGTGCCCGTAACTTTGCTCAAAGATGAGTCTCCTTTACTTCTGATTGAGTGCCCGTAACTTTGCTCAGAGATGAGTCTCCTTTACTTCTGATTGAGTGCATGTAACTTTGCTCAGAGATGAGTCTCCTTTACTTCTGAGTTAGTGCCCGTAACTTTGTTCAGAGATGAGTCTCCTTTACTTCTGAGTGAGTGCCCGTAACTTTGCTCAAAGATGAGTCTCCTTTACTTCTGAGTTAGTGCCCGTAACTTTGCTCAGAGATGAGTCTCCTTCACTTCTGGGTGCGTCCCTGCTCAAGCAAATTATCTTAAAATCTAAACGTACAAACGTTTGTTGACAGCAGACGTTACTAATCGAACACGTTGAATAAATAGGTTGTCTGAACTCGGTGGTCGATTTAAATCAGATTTGTAGCGCGAACGTTTTTTCTTTGAGATGATTGAGTGAGATTGGCCATATTATTTTAAGCCGTTTTATCGGCTCTCTCTGCAATAAATATGAATTTGCATTCTGTATCTCTGTATGCTATTATTTTATTTTTTGTGTCGCAATACCACAAGTGGTAGGTTTTTCGTTGAAGTGTGTAGCGTCGAAATATGTTAACCGGCATGGCTTCTTGCAAGGTTTGTGACGTCGGAATATGGTTAATGGCACGACTTCTTGCAAGGTTTGTGGCGTAGCAATTCCTTAAGTGACATGGTTTTTCGTTGAAGTTTGTGGCGTCGAAATATATTTACTGTCATGGCATCGCGCCGAAGTTTGTGGTGTTTAAACATGTTCTCGTTATCAGAGTACATTCATCTTGTTTATAGCACGTTCTTGCAATAACAACAAAATATCACATTTTATTCTGAAACTGCCGTTTTCGGCGCCGGATTTCAAAATATTCTGGATTTAATTTGATATGACCCTCAGCTGTGTTTATGCTAACAATTTTTGTGAATTTATATAAAAAATGATTTCTTTGTTAGTAAACCTCTGGAGGGTTTAAAACGCCACGTGTTGTAAAAATAAATATCGTCTCTATCGCAGTATCTTGCTACACCACGATCGGCATCGCATGAACATTGGCGCAGAAAACAATATTTTAATGTCATTTCATATTTAACGGTCTTTGCTATCGGGTCCCATATCATAATCACCATATATACAAAGAATGTGACATGACTAGAGCTGGGAACGGTTAATCGGCTAACCGATTTCAGATGGTTAACGGTTACGATTTTTTGAATGTGAGCTGATATCTCAGGTACAAAACAACTGTATACGGTACAATTTCTTCAAAAGTGATTGGTTCAACACCAACTGAACGTATCTTTATTCGAGGTTCACTTTGAACATGATTATGTACGAGAAGTCACAGACACGTAAGGGGGCTGCTACTGTATTTGCGGAGGGGCCATCATATTCCCGGTGATACCTGATGTTTTATACCCTGAGTGAGGTGGGCATGGGATTAGAGACGAAAATTTTTCATAAATTCACTCGGAAATGACTTGTTTTTATTTCTGAGTAAGTGTATGTGATTTTGGCTTTTGGCAAATTTTCACCAAACAACAAGACCTCCCATAAAAACCAGCAGAAATTGAAATAAATTATCTCGAGTTTCGAAACTTGCGTTTTTATAATAAAAAATACAAAGGCCAACGCATCACCTGCGTGGTATAAACATTCATATACACGACTAGAAAACAAAACACATGCTGTTTAGCATAACTGAAGTTTTTGGATGGGGACGCTTATCTTCTTTCCTTACCTCCTAAACAAATATCACTGCAAACGCCTATTTATACGAAGTCAATCTAAATGAGTATGTATCTTATATTCATCGCCTGAAAAGTCTGACTTAGGTCGGGCAAAACATTACACAGGATACGATTTACGAAGTATGATGCAACACTCGTGCCCATACCGTAGGACAGACCTATTCGTAAAATGGGAGTATAACCTGGCCTAAAAATAAGAGTTCGCGCTCAAAACAGAGAAATATTCATGAAGTATGAAGCAACAATCGTGTTCGTAACCGTGCACTCTGGAAATGGGAGTATAACCTCTTTAAAAATATGCGTTCGCGCTCAAAACATTGAACTTGAAATAATAAAAATCGGCAAAAGAGCGATTGAGTCACCTTCCCTGAGGGCAGGTCAGATTAGCATAAGAAGTTGCATATCATGACGAATAATATTTATGCGACGAGATAAGTATTTACTTAGTTTATCAGGAAATCTTTATTACCAACACGAGGTCATTTGCCCTTGTTTTGTGGTAAAAATCCAAAAAAATGACAAAGCGGAACCAGGAGATAAATTTGTACATTTAACAAGAAATTTCACGGTTCTTATTTTCATCTCCTTGTCATTAGGTGTAAAAATTGTTTAAAGGGAATACAAAAGTCCCCTCCCCTGTAGCAGTGGCTGCTACAGAGACGTGTTCAAACCCGAGTGTGTCGAACGGGAAGCCTTTTTGAAGTAATGAATTAAGCAAGTAAAAGGCCGGAAAGATTCCAGTTCTCCCGAAGTAGTAGGTGAACATGAATCCGTAGCTGCATATACGGAGCCTTGCTCTGGGCGAAAGTGCCCCGGAGACTCAAGAATTTAAGGAATTAGTCAGGATCAGATGGACGAGATAGACTTTAAAAAACATTTTTGCACATTTTTGCAAGGTTTTTCACGGTTTCTGCATAGACGCCCCGTCTCAGATTGGACATTGCATTGTTAACGGCTAAGTTGGATGAACGTAACTTTAAAAAAGGCTGTTCGTCGCTTAACAGTTTACCAGGTTGTTAGATAGATAACATAAATATAATAACTATTAGGCTCTTTTACTTATTCACGACTGGGCGTGTAGATTAGATAGCCAAATACAATACTTCCATCCCCTGGGGAGATTTTGCTTCATATTCGCTGTAGTATTCCTCGTATTCCTTGATGATTCTAATTATTACCATATTACTATTTATTACCAAAAAAACTACTTAAATTGTGCAAAAACATGAGCACGACTTGCGCATAACATTAGCTGAAGATCTATCAAAGATTGAACTCATTGAATAGCTTTTAAGCATATGGAGGAAAAATAAAGAGTTGCGAAATAGGCGAAGGAATTCAACGAAAACGACTGGGAACCACTGGATAACAATTACATAAATTTAAACAATTTTTGTTTTTACGTAACATCTGCCAGAGGCATATTACAAATAATTAAAAAATGACGAATTTTCCCACTTTCGATTTTGTCTTTTTTACATAATAACAATTTATTAGAAACGATGATTCACTTTTACGCGTTTTTCAATACGTCTTGTGGCCTTTACTAACGTGAAATCTCGTGCGAAACAGATTTTGTGGGACTAGTCTGTGTAGAGATAATCATCCTTATTAAGCTTGATAAATTAAATATGACTGCTTTCTTCTTGGTGAGGTATTGATGAAACATGTTCCTCATTGTGTATGACAACTCAGCGAACTGTCAGGGTGATAGATTCTATGTTTTGAGTAAGTTATGTGCTTGGAGGACGCAATACGACGAAAAAGTCAAATACAATTGAATATATTTTACCTATCAAAGATTCGATTCGATTCTAAAATTAGCAGGGGTTCAAAAATGCTAGCCCTATATGGTGGCTTACGGCTTACACCAGCTTAAGGACAAGTTTAATTTTAAAACAGCTAAACAATTAATTTCACACGGCTTGTATTTGCACCTTCCGCTCAAAACAAGGCCCTATAGAAGCAAACATTGTTTCACCCAGAATTCTCGCTAATTCAATAACTTTCTACATATCTGAGGCTGTTTTTCGATATGCTGCTGTTCAAAACAGCGTAAATATTTAGTAGCCCAGTCATATTTGCGTTAGCACTAATAGTTTCACTTGAAATTTTTGTTTATGTTAGCGGTTGGCCTCGATTATGTAACAATTTTCTAGTTTTATGTAACAAAACCACAAGACAACTTTTGCCATAGGAACATGACAAAAAAAAAAAAATTTTTAGAAGTGAAAATCTAGGAATTACATAATTGCCGAAATAATTCTGTTTTGTTCACTATTCTATCAAAACATGAGATTGTATTTATGTATTTTAATCAAACTTCATTTTTTTATCGATTCACTTTGTTAGATTATTATCAATAGGCGGAAGCGTGGTGCGAATGATAATATTGAAATTAAATTACAACAAGTAAGAATTACCATTTCATGCACATTTGATCGTTGCCAGATGTGAGCTTATTTCCGTACAAATAAACCACAATACGCGATGTCGTACTTCTCCTTCAGCATTGTTTTTAACGATTTTTACCGTTTTATGACGTATTTTTAAATTCTGGAAGCAGAAATAAATATGATTCCATAGAAAATGGATTGATATTTTGCGACTCTCTCCGCTCAGAATAGTTTGGAAGCCACCGAAACAAGATTTACTCAACTATAGGCAATCAACCTCAATACTCGGGGCAGTTCTGTGGGGCCATACGCATAGGCCATTTGTAAAGCTCTGTTAATTTAAAGTTATTTGCTTAATTCTTGACTGTAATGCATTCATTCTTCTGTTTATTTATTATAAAACAGCGGTCCACGGAATGTTGAGAGTCTTTAAAAGAGGGGACGAATGGGGGACGTTCGAGAACCACTCCACTATATTAATCCAAGAGGTCACTTACCGGTACAGTATGTCCTGGTATATCATTCGGTCGCCCGTTTTCGTCAAATCTCCCGATTCGGGGACCAAGCAATACAGCTCCACAGAAAGCGGCCGTTCCACCAGTGATATGAACTATAGCTGAGCCAGCGAAGTCCTTGAACACGAGACCGTCTGTAAATGTAGGGATTAGACGAGATTGGTGTTGAAGTAACTCGAGGGCAATTACTTTTTTGAATGAGCAAGTTACAGATAACAGACTTGGTTACTGGGCCGGACGCTCGAAGCTCAATATGAAAAGTATGAATAAAAACAGTTTATTTACAACAGCCAGCCTAACGTTTATATAATCATAATAGGCAGAATGTAACAATCAAAGTCATTATGACATATGATATTTTCAACGGGAAATTTATATCCATAAAAACTATGGTCGTAATTTCAACATTGGGCCATATGAAACACTACTGGCCGCCATTTTCCCAGCCCTGGAATAACTCAATAATTCGAGTTGAAATCAAGTCAACCATTTATCAAAAGTAATCAAAAAGTTATCAAAATGACACAGACAACCTTCTGTGAAACTTCATAAAGTGGGTTTCGGTGCGTTAACCAGCGTTTTTTCTTAATGAAAAAGAAAACCGATTACATGGCTCCATCATATGGCTCTCGTCCGGTTGCCAGTCCATGTCAGGTATGGAATTTGTTAGCTAGTTATTTGTCTCAAATGGTTCCATTACATTTGAACCCGTAATTTGAATCAACGACAATTGCACCTGTATACTATTGCATGGAATTTTTTTACGGATATTTGAACCCAAACTAACCCCATAACCCATGGGTTTTAGCACCTTCATAAAAAATTGAACCAGCGGATATACGGTTGCAAATGTATGGCTTCAAATGTACGGTCACCGTCTCAAATGCATGAACCTGGTGGTGGGGAAGCCGCAACCGGCCAGCGGTAATGTGAATACCCCTGCTGCGACAAAAAGCCCAATAAAAATTCGCACAAGATTTTCGCTGCGGGATTCGAACATGCGAAACCCAAGTTGCGAAATATAAGCGTGTTTTTAACGCTTAGCTCAAAGCGCCAATCGTCAAGTCTTGCATTATAAAAATTTCCAAAGCTCAACTTACTTGGCCCATTTGCCAGCCATCCCGAACTAGACCATCCCCAATGTGACACCACGGGGTAAACGAACGCAGTCAGAAAGAAGCAGTAACCAAGATATGCTTTAAATTCAGTTCTTTCAGCCATTGCCCCCGATACGATAGTTGAAGCGGTCGCTGTGAAGACAAATTGGAAAAACCACGACACGTAGTAATGGTCTGCGGTTCCTACGTCACCCTGGAAACAGAAATAGAATGATTGGGTATAAATCAAATATCTAACTAAGTCAGTGTTGAGTAAAAGTCCTTGAAACCTCCAGTCTCTAATAAAGTCTGAGTCCCAGAAAATTGAAGTTTTAATCCAAAGTCGAGTCACTTTAATTTTTATGAATGTGAGTTTGCCTTGAAATTATCGATGAAAATAACGTCATAATGACCCCGATTGTTACATTGTGCTTCGTATTATTATTAAAACGTTATCCTAGCTGTTGGAAATAAACTGTTTTTTTCAAAGTTTTTCTTATTGAGTTTTGAGCCCTCGGACCAGTAACTAAGTCTATTATCTGTAAATGGCTCACTCAGAAAAGTAACTGCCCAGCCCTGATCTAGAGTCATATCAAGAATATCCGTTGCTGTTTTGTGTCGCATGTCAAGCAGCCTTCATCGTATATTTCATAAACAATGTTAAAGAAATCTATGAATACTGTTGCTGGGTTGGCCATTCGGGCCTTAAGTGTACGCAATAGGAATCATTTTATTGTTTTCGTTGTCACCAAATTTTCTACGCAATTTCTAATCCATCTTATTTGGGAAAACAGAATATAAAATTTGGGTCAAGTGAAGTAAACGCCGTAACTGCTTATTGAATAACGCCTAACAAAAAAAAAGTGTGAAATTTTAATGTAATCAAAAATAAGGCTGTATGACGCAGAAAGAAATTTTTGAAACACTCGTTCAGTCCCAGTCTAGTCAGTTTTCAACTGAGAAGTATGTTCCATGCCGTTTAAGATATTGTGTTCAAGACGCAAGACGGACTTTTATTTAAATAAAATAGAAATTTGAGTTGTATTTTCATATCACATTTTTTGTTTATGTTTTGGTTCCTGCGAGACTAACTACTTATCATCCTTCTATGCTTTTGTACCGACGGATCCGTATGCATATAATGCAAGGAAGCTGTAACAAGAGTAAGATAATCATCCTAAGTAATTCAAGAGTTTTGGTCAGATGAAACGTTTCAGAAATATATTTGCGTTAGTGTGCAGCAAGACTTTTTTGAATCATTTAGAACATTTTTGTTTTGAATCATTTAGGACATGGCATTATTACTTATCGATCTTAAGATCGGTAAGTATATTGATAGGTATTTGTCTGTATGTATGTCTGTCTGTATGTATGTCTGTCTGTGTGTCTGTAAGATGCACGCGATATCTCACGAAAGCGAGATTGAATCTGCTCCAGATTTTGCATGTGCATTCATCTTATCTCGGACCAGAAGCCTATTGATTTTGGGCAAATTATGTCGTATAATTAGCGAGTTATCAATCAATTATTGATATAGTGATCTAGACTTTTGTAAAGCGAGAGAATTTTGAAACCCGCCGAGTGTGTGTGTGTGCGATGCGCAGTGCGCAAGTTACAAGAGCGGATGAATCGAAACTGCAGTTTCTGTTTTGGGGGATCCCCTAACTATCGATCGATAAGTCTTCGGTTTCCAACCGATATTCTCGTTTGGACAGTTACGGCGTTTACTTCGCGAGATTCTAAAACAAAGACTCACGTATGTAGTGTTGACTCCATCGAAGTTCTGTTGAAGATTGGAACCGAAGAAGTAGTTGTGACCGATAAACCCGTTGCCAGGTTCTCCGTATGCAAAACTATATCCAACCGCCCAGTATGTGAGTGCAGCCATCCCTGAAAAGGAAAATGATTTTAAAGGTTTTACATTTCCATTTCAAATGATGCACCCTGAAACTGAAAGAAAAATGACGCGAATTCGTTTAAATTTTGGTATTGTGAAGACGGTTTCCCCAAAATATACTTGTGAGAAATAATGATATAAAACACCATAAAGCTCCTATTATAACGTAGTCTGTTGCTATATTTAGTGTTTTTGATATTCCTAGTATCATGTGTTGGAAATCTTGGAGAAATTATTACAAATACATGTTAAATAACTTTTTGGCAAAAAAATTGAAAGTAACGATTCAGAAGCTAACGGGAAATCAAGGTAAAACCTGGTAATGGAAAACAAAATCGCCACACTGTTATTTATAAAAAAACACTAGAGATGTTCAACTTTCCATGCAACCATAGGCCGAACAACGGAGTTTCCTAACTAACGCAGACTCATGGATAAAGTTCGGACCTCCTGAAGTATGCGCACCAAGACGGCGCACAACCTGAACTCAGGTTGTGTACCAGATTAGGGTTCAGGTTGTGCGACATCTTGGTGCGCATACTTCAGGAGTACCCAAAGTTCTATGGACACATGGACATACTAAATATTTTTCGACTATGATTTAAATACTCCAAATCGTCTGAACTTTTCTTAAAAAAAATTTCCGAGATAAAAGAAATTTTACTGTTTCATAGTCTACTGTTTTTATTTTTCTCCTTTTATGGACCTCTCCCCAAAATATTGAATGAAAATGAGAAAATAATACGCCTTCACCTCATCGGACACGATATGGGCCTACGAATCGTTTTGTTATTATGCTGTGTTCTTGTTCTTATCATTACTAAAAATCGTTTTTACAACTGGACCGATTGTTTTGAAATTTTCAGTGGTTAAAGGTAATTGTTGTCGCTAGAGTGCTATTACGTGTATTTATTTCAAACATTTTCTAGCCGCTATGAAATTCGCATTTTAGTGAAATAATAATTTCACCATTTTGTTTAGAACGAGTAATGATGTTATCTATACCATTATCGAAACACAATGGAACGCATTTACGCACGCCACGTCAATCGAACGTCAATGCGTAAACATCCGTGACGCACTACGGCGATTTTTGATGAAAGTCAAATTACCAAAATGAAGATGTTTTAAAGATAATTGATATGATATTGACCCACTGTCCCATTATTAATTGTCCGATTTGTTCTTTCGATTAGATTTATACAAAGTTGGATTTGATCCAGGGCTTGAAATCGTATTAGGGTTGCCAGGTTTTATATTGGAATGTTTTTGTATTTTCTGCGATGTGACAGTAACATATTAGTGTTGCCAGATTATTTAGGCAATGCCCAAATATTTTATGTCGAGCCGATTCAAGTTCTGAAAATATATCATGGTTGCCAGATTTTTTAAGCCGTTGAACCATGTTACAGTTGCCAGATTCTGTCCAGATAACGTATAAAATATTTTAGTTGAAACAATTTTTTTTATGAAAATTTGCTCGAAGCAAGGTCGCGTGCATTTAACTCATCGGAGAGACCCATTGAGCTATTCAAACTATATAGAAATGCAACGCAGAATTAACTGTGCGTTGATAAAAGGCGATATACGCGAGACATATTTTCTGTGAATACACGTCGTTAATTTGCTCTGGGCGTCGATTATTGTAACCAAAATATGGTTTGAGGTGATTAAAAACTCAAGAATGTAGGAAGATTAAAGCTATAATTTGTTATTCTCGGTTGGTTGTGAGTTCAAGTTTATTACCAAGTTATCTTTAGACAATTTTCGACCGCATTTTACCACTTTAAATTTATATAGTTCTTGATATTTAAATGATCGACTGTAACTCTGCTAAAAGTGTGTCGTCTGCACTTGCGCTAGTATTCAAAACAATGATAATAAGAAAACGCAGAAGATAGGCTACATTGTTAAATTTGACAAAGCGTTTTGAACTCAACGCCGATTATTCACTTTCCGGTAATTTCGGGACCAATCATTTTGTCACGTCTTGACTTATTCAGCTAGCTTCCACTGAAAATAGGTTTCTGCAGGACTAAATGCTATCTTCTATGCCTCTGTATGTGTCGCAGCTTTTTTTCTTATACACTTCAAAACATCTACTACGATCAAAACAGAAGATCCGAGGCTCGACTGCGGCTTTATTCTTATTTCAAAAACAGCAATAAATTAACTTAAAGTGAAATAAGTTCAACATAAACTGCCCACACGAAACACAAAACTTGACTGTGTGTCACCGCCCCGAACGTAGAAAACGATGCCTTGTTAATAATTACGCAACAAAACAATGAAGCAATAGAAAATCATTACTCAACACAGCAATAACAAATAACAAATACAGGAAAACAAAGAATCATGAGCACGCGGAAAAAATACTGTCACATATGCATGTAATGCAAGGTCGTAGCCGTTTGAAATGTAAAAAAAAGCATTTTTTGTAAAATACATATCAATTTTCCGTAACTTCAAATAATTTTTAGACCCTCAAGACTATTGAAAACTCACGTTATCATTAAAGTTTTATTTTCATTTTATTTTTTTTAATAAATAAAGGTAATAAACATGCGACAGCTAGGACTGGGAATGATTAACCGATTTAGATGGTTAACGGTTACGATTTATTTTAACCGTTAACTGACATCTCAGGTACAAAATTTTTTTTCTGTACAATTTCTTCAAAAATGATTACGTCATCGCAAATTTATCTCATGTGGCGTTTAATTCAAAAGAATATCACTAACTATATTAGTAAGGACCCAATAAATGTGAAAAATAATTGAAGTACCAAGATTGATGATTATGAAAATTTACAATGATAAATTCAGAATCAGTTTTCGGTCGAAATATATTGTTCACGATTTTATTGCAAAATCGTATATTCAATGTCATACATTATACAACAAGTGCGCAGTTGATGCCGTTTTTCTGTATGAAATATATCTCGAAGTAGAATTTGTACATCGAACACTGATAATTTGTCACATAAATGACGTTTCATAACAGAATCGTGTTTTCTAAACTACTCCCACATGCCCGAACCACGCTGCCTATCTCTTGCAGCAGAGCAATCATGTCTTATCTCGATTCGTGAATAATATAAACTAGAGAAAACATCCCTCTTGCGCAAAGCGTCCCAGACTACTGAAACATTTGGGTACGATCATATACACAAACAGAAGTTTAAGTGTTGAATGAATGTCCCTCATTTTGTAAAATTATTTAAGAAAATCATGAGTTCTATTTTATGGGTTACCCTACATGTCGTTTCAATTCATCATTTTTTACCTTAATTCCCTACGCAGAAATAACGTTGCAATTTATCAAAAATTATTTCAAAAAATTTGATGATGTCGACTATTCCGCGGTAAAATTTTCCGAGCCTGGAGTGATTTTGGTGGTGAACTAGATTCGATGTATTTGATAAGAAAGACGATTACCAGAATCGAATACTGCGATCTAAAATTTAATACATTTGAGATCAATTTTCGTCAAATGTGGCGGATTAAAATAGGAAATATTGACCTTACATGAGTAGGCGTTGTTCATTATGTTAATTTCAGATTAAATTGCCGATTTGAAAGTTTCGTGTCAGCCGATATCTATTCACATCTCGGTAGCGAGCCAATTATGCCCGCTTAGCGTAATTCCCTCGCGTTTTTCCTGGCAGTAAAGGGAGTGTTGAAGCTTTACAAGTCCGTGAATCACCTTGTATGACGTTTCAATTCACAATATATATATTTTCCCACGCGGAAATAATGTTGCAATTTCAAGTGCTGTATCGACCAACTTTTGATACTTCTGCGGCATTATGAAAAATAGCGTTTTGGTGGTTGTTACTCCCTTATTTCAATATTCGGTACTCCCGTAGTATGTGTACCAGGTTAGGGTTAGGCCATCATTTTATTCCGATTTTTGTTATCTCCGTTCTATTACGAATTAGCCAAGTGAGTATACCCCCTGCCCATAGGTTTCAGTCCCTTTACACAACTTGATGTAAAGTAGCCGAACAAAATTAGTTACCTCCATATTAGTTACTTACAATATTCTACTAATGAAAACCACTTCAATAGACAAAAAGATCAGACATTTTGAACCCACATCCTTGCGATAAGGATAAGTAGTGGGCGTTCTATGTATTCACTCAAAAAGGATTTTCGGGCAATGGCAATTGCGAACCGAATATAATACACTAGCGTTCGAATTTCTATCAATTATGGCGGATTAAAATCTTTGAAAATGGGAAATTCTAGATTATCTGTGTGACACGAGACACACATAGTGGGCGGTAATTGCTTAATATAAGATTCAATTCACGATTCAGAAGGCAATTATCCGTCGCTATCTAACGACATCTCTGTAACAAAAGCAAAATACAGCTCAGGCTATTAGCGTAGCCAGGCATGCTCTTCCCCCCTCTTAAATAAAAAAGTTTTGACTTTTTTTTTCAAATGCAATTTTGCGGCATTTGCAGAGACATGCGTATGTCAATATACGAAAATTAATTGCCCCCCCCCCCTCCCAATTTTGGGCTGGCTACGATCTTGGTCCAGGGATCTCTCTGATATAAAATTCGGGAATAACTATCTGGCACGAGACATAAAAGTTGATATGCAAACAGTCAACGGTTACTTTCAGTAGTCAAAGGTTCTCATGGAATCCACTTAACAGTCACGGACCAAGATGACGCACAACCTTAATACAGTATGTGTGTGTACCGGTTAGGATTCAGGTTATGCGACATCTTGATGCGCATACTTCTGGAGCACCGTTGCAGATTATGATTAATTTGAGATAAAATTTACAATCAGTCTTGTGTTATCCTATATAAATCTGAAACGATAGGCCTTAAGTATTCAAAATATCCGATTTGAAACGAAATTACAAGATCTGGAAGTTCATGAATCGGATCTAATACAGTTATGATGAAGAACATTTACGGTGAGAAACTTATTTATACTATGTGTCATATTATAAGAAGTGGGCGTTCTGGATTATTTTTGATTGGAGATTTAAAATGCGGTTTGTCGTTTCGCCGTCCGCGACATGCGACAGACGGTTGCTGTTGGAGTCATCAAGGAAACTACCAAAAAGGCCGGGAATGTGAAAGGCAGCAGCTAAGGCCAATAAAAAACAGGAGCAAAGAAGTGACTGAAAGCATCTGGCGCCCATCAACAGCCTAAACCTAAAGCCTCTCCTTGCTGACGTATCAATGGTTTCATTCTGGTCGATAGGAAATACTCGCCTGAGTGATCGTTGCATAAATTATGTTTAATTTGAGATTCAAATTGTGATTTGTCTGGCTATTAAATTTTGGGCGCTCCAGAAGTGTATGTACCAATATGGAGGCAACTAATTTTGTTCGCCTACTTCACATCAAGTTGTGTGAAGAGACTGAAGCCTATTGACAAGGGTATATTCACTTGGCTAACACAGACAGTCCCGAACTCAATAGAACCAAAATAAGGAAAATACACACACTATGGGAGTACCGACTTTTGTGCCCCGAAGGCAGAATACTCTCCAATTATGGAATTTCCCTTTCCTTGATAGAGTTAGTTGGCTTGCAATCGTTTACAAATTTTCGGTGGTTAATTAAAAGATCTGAAAGTCCTCCTAGTTGGCCACTTTCATTTCTAATGGGTTATCTGGGTTTCATTTTTTGGTTTTTATGACGCAATAATGTGAACGTGACGTCACAATATAAAGTAAACGACACAATGTAAAATGTGAGATCACAATGCTTTTTACAGCAACACTAGCTACGTCAGCGGATTATCCTTGTACAAGAAGTGTTATCGTAGGTACCAGGGATAGAAGACGTCGGTTTCAATTAAAAGGAACGTCATAATGCAGAACTTGACGCAATAATGCAAAATATGATGTAATAATACAGACATGACATCATAATGCAAAAATGTGTCGTCATTATGAATTAGAAGGGTGAGAGAGTCTTATACTTAGACGTATAATTTTTGAATATCAGAAATGCAAGAGTGAAACGTTGTCGAGGAAATGTGATACTAAATCAAACGGGGGTCATAATGCAGATCATGGCGTCATAATAAAAAACATGACGCCATAATACGAACAAGACTTCGTAATTCAAAATGACATAATAATGCAAAACATGGCGTCATACTCCAGACATAACAAATAAAATGTCAGTTTACAAAAAAGTGACGTCAGTAGGCTCTCAAGTGCTGACAGAGACGTATAATTTCTGAAAACCACATGATGGTGTAAATCGTCGGAAATTGTGTTTCTTGTTCAACCTCACTTATTTAAATTGTAATTATCTGTCTCAGAAATTTCAATAATTATACGAATTATAATCGTTAATGATCTTCATCACGTAGGCGTTTCCTTTTTGAGTTGGATTTCAGACAACGTTTCTCAAATACAAGTTAGCTCATAGCAAGATCTCGAACCCTCAATGAGAAGCAAATATGTTACTGATAAAGAAGCAATAATCAGCCGTTAACGTACTAAGGTGCTAAGTGCAATATACACAGGCGGAGCTAGATCTTGAATGGACGTTTCCCCAACCCTTGAGCCCAGAAAAATTCTCTCTATATTTACTATTTCAAAAAATTTTATGCTTATTTTGAGAGTGTTTCGGAGAGTTGGCGCTTATTAACTGGTTTACATTTACATGCAAGATTTCGATCCCTCAGTGGAAAGCAAAAAAAATTACTGATGAAGGGAATTATAGTCAGCCACTAACGTGCTAAGATCAATATACATAATCAGAGCGAGTTCCCGAACCCTCAATTTCCGTTTCCTTGACCCTTGACCCGAGAAAAATTCTCTCTGTACTTTACTATTGCAAAAATTGTTATGCTTATTTTGCGAGTATTTTGGAGGGTTGGCGCTTATAAACTGGTTTACATTATCAAAACCATCATTTTTATCAATTTATTCAACCACTCGCCGCTTACAGGTACTGATAGCTAATTTTAGCCCAGTTTATCGCGAATTTTGCGAGACTAATGTTGGATTGCTACAACTAAACTAAAGCTCCAGGAAAGACATATTGACTATATTAAAAGTTATTTGATTTGTAACTAATTTTTGGAAACACAACTAAAAACTGAAAAATAACTCACAAACCATAAAAATGAGTTATTATTTACAAGCATGCTGTTTTACGAGTTCCAGAGGTGTCTGAGCTTCTGTTACGTCATCGTTAACTTATTGCTGATTGGTTATGGTTGCGAAATAAACAAGGAAGTCAGGGATCGAGGAAACATCCACTAAAAGATGGAGAACCCCTGATAAGAAACTTCTGATCGGCTAATAATTATTTATAAGTTTTTATACAAAATTACTCAAAGTCATCCCGGGCCATCATTAAAAAGTATTGGCGAGGCTACGTCCTTGGCCCCGAATCCAAACTAAGAGTGCAAAATATACTGGTAGAGTTACAAGATATCACTGATAGAGAAATAATGTTTACTTACAGACATCCACAACGTTCTTTAGAATAATATTCGTTGTATTCTTGGCACGAACTGAACCTGCTTCGAGAAATGCGAATCCAGCTTGCATGACTGTAGAATAGAAGAATATAGAATAAAATAATTCGAAAATAGAGGAGGGTGTGGGGTAATTTTTAATTATCGAGGGGATAAAATTTAATTATCGAATAAAAATAGATTCTTGACACATACGATGATGATAAATGTTTTTTTACATTTCAAAAGAAGGGTCCCGACACTCCCCTCCCCTCCCAGGTTACTCCCTCTGGCTACTCCCCTAATAGTTTATAGATATATCGGTGAATGCTTGCTTAGGTCTTTGGTCAGAGCGCACGCATTTCAAGATTAGATATTTTAACTTACATAGAACGAATAGACCGCATATCAGCAGATATAATGTATTAGTTCCACTTTGCATTTCGCTTATCTTTGCTTCCAATTCTTCCATCGTTGTCATGGTTATTGATGAAGTAATAAGTACTAGATTAGTATTAAATTATGAACTAGAAACAAATAAATAGGTTTATGTTTTTATAATTTTTCATCTTTCCCCCCTTCAGTCTAAGCAAGTAGCGCTGGAACGTGATGATCTACCATAATTTGAGAGGTTGAAAAACAGAGGCAGGCGTGTGCAACATTTGTTGCCGGCAGGCCATATAACAAACTTCAGAAATCTAGCCGGGCTACACAAATTTAGTTTATCTATGCGGGAAAGACAAGAGATGAAAAAGGCGTTTATTGCTTAGCATTGCAGTAATAACGACACCGGGCAAAACAACGAAAGATCTAATGCAGCGACAAGAGCAACACAACATCATGTATTTTCACCTACATGAGCGACTTTTTAAACATTAACTCTCAGATTCGGATTTTACTCTTGATGGGAAAAAACCTGAGTATTGATAAGGGCCACACTGAATGGCTTGGAGGGACAGGTTGTGGCCCGCGGGCGAGTATTGCACATCCCAGCTATAAAGTCTTATATCAACATTTCCCAAGCAGAGAGAAATTTTGCCGCTCTTGAGAAACAATTTTACTTTGTATTTGCCGTGGTATTACAAATATTCTTTAGTTTTTCCTTATTACTATAATATTTCTTCAGGGACATATATTAAGCTACTCAAACTGTACAATATCGAGAGTGCACGTTGCGCATAAGAGTAGCTAAGCATCCATCAAAAATTGAATAAATAAAGCACTTTTTTCGCATATGAAGGGAGGAATAAAGGCGAAAAAATAGGCGAAAAGAGGAATTTAACAAAAAGGTTGGAAACAACTGTCTTGTAGGTAAAGTCGGAATTATGAATTCAAGCCAACAAAGAGATTAGCAAAACTCAAAGTTTATGAACTCATTAGGTAAACAACGGCAAACCCGAAAACATTCCGATCCATCAAAAATAATCGTCAATCAACTGTCAGTCGCTGCTTGTCTTAAGCCCTATTCAGTGTGAGAATGGCTTGCTTACTAGGAAATAATTCCTGCATTTCAACTCGAAAGACAAACTTTAATTTGCATAACAGAAATTTATGTAAATAAATAGGTTTTAGAAGAAAAAAAAAAATACTTTTCTCATATTGTGGCTTTTTAAATAAAAATTTGACACGCCCGCAGGGAGCTTAGCGAACCGCTCGTTAAAATCTCGTTAGCGTTTAAAATGACAAGCAACCTGTTTTAATGTCTCGGTCATTGTTAACAAACTAGATTTTTAGCGCGAACTTATCTTTATATGACGTTTATGTAACCAGATGTGGAATTTTGTTAATGTCTGTAATGTCATTAGTTTGGGCTTCGTATAAGACCAACTGATTAGCATAGGCCCATGACCCCTTTTCCCAAGCGGGGAGGGATGCTTTCCAAGAGAAGAATTATGTCGTTCTTGGGTAGAATTTAATTTTGTATTAACTGTAGTATTCGTTACTAGTATTACTTATTATTGCACACGTAATAAACTACTTAGACTTAGACTGTACAGTCACGAGAGTGCGACTTGCGCATAACACTGGTCAAAAATCCATTACAAATTGAATAAATAAAGCACTTTTCATGCATAGCGAGGAGGAATGAAAAGTTCCAAAACAGGGGAATGAAGGAATTTAACAAGAAAGGTTAGAAATTACCAACAGCTACTGAAATTTTATTAAATTATGTATTTTTGGACGCAAAGCTGAAACTTTCCTGAGCGATCTGGCTTTAAGTTCTGATTTTTTATCTTTTTGCGTCGTATCTTTCCCAGCCTTTTTCCTCCGTCCTCGCTTTATTTCGCAATCTCGCTAAATGAAAAAACGAGAACTATTACTAAAACCTTCTATAGTTTCAATAAATTACTGTTACGCCTGTCTTTCTTTTCGTTTTGCTAAGTTTTTGCAAAAAACGGCTTTCCGCTCTTACGTAACGCTTCAATTCACTCAAGATTTTTACCTGTAAGAATTTAATTGTAAAATACTTAAAAATGACTTTTTTTTATTTTATCTAACTCATCAACCAATGCAAGATTATCAATTAAAAAAGATTAGTATCATAATCTATAGTCAGTTTCTCGAACTGAACCTGTGGCCAGAGGCTTCCGTTGTTGACTGTTTCATTCACAAACATGGCGCATAAAATAACAGAGTGATACGAGTGAAAATCCAAAACTAGGTAACTTTATCGAAAGTCATGGGGCAATACCATGTCTTTGGCCACGGATCACGGCATTCTGAAAACCGCTGGTCTGGAGATTTCCGTTGTTTTACGTTTTTATAATATTTTTTTGTATAAAGCGACCCCCTCATTCTGTTGGAGAAGTTGCGTCATCAAACTCACTAAATTTTACAACTGTTTTTACTTTTAATTTTTATACTTTTTTGCAGAAGACGATCCGAACACCCCCCCCCCTCCCTCTACACCAGAAGTCGGCAACCTTTTGTCGCCCGTGGGCCAAAATTAGGGGTTGCAAGTCATTGGCGGGTCGCACATATTTTTAGAAAGTTGAAAACCGAAAGCCTGATGGGATACATCTCTCGAATGAAATTTAAATTTATTTACTCATGAACTTAACATCAACTCTTCTGCGTTTAATTGTCATTTGTCGAATTGTAATTAAATTATAGGCTTATTAAACGAGTAATTGTGAATTATATATTCGTTAGGTTATAATATTATTTAATCTACACGGGTCTCACAATAAATTCTGTAAAGAATATAATCGTCAAAACAGCTGTTTTTGTTACTATAATTTAGCGAATCGTCGCGGGCCGGTTTATATTACTCTGCGAGCCGGATCCGGCCCGCCGTCCGTAGTTCTACATGGGGAAGTTGCGTCACTACACCCAGAAATTTAATTTTCGTTTTATAATTTTTTTTTTTTGCATAAACGACCCCCACTCCCTCTCCCCGGTTCTACCTGGTGAAGTTGCGTCAATCGACCCACACAATTTTAACGACTGTCTTTAATTTTCGCTTTTATAATTTTTTTGCATAAAACAATCCCAACATCTCCTCTCTGCCTGGCTAAGTGGCGTCACTAAACTCGCTGAATTTACGACTGTCTTTACTTTTAATTTTCATACTTTTATGCAGAAGACGACTCGAACACCCCCCAATGTGAAGTGTCGTCACTTAACTCACACTGGATTTTACGACTGTCTTTACGTTTTGTTTTTATACATTTTTTTTGCATAAAATGGCCCCCTCTCAATACCTTGTGAAGCGTCGTTACTAAACTGAATAATCTTTTTTACGCAATTGTATTAATAGGAGTCCGTCATTTTTTTCCTTTTTCTATCGTTTCAAGAATTATTTCAATCACACAAAAAAAAAATTGAATGCAGTTCGCCTGAGGGGCTTCTACGTATACGTTGTGGCGCAACAACGCAAATTCTCGCAATTGGTTAAATTGATAGAATATGAAGAGTTTATTACTTCAATTGAGAATTATAAATTTATTATTATTATTATTGGCAGTGATAGAAATAAATGCGCCAAGATTTCTTGAAATATTTCACGCAGACAATATTCAACTTATCCTCCATTAAAAAAGATTTCGTTTGATTTTTTGTATGAAAGTCATATATTTTAGATTACCCAGATCTTATATATTGTTACATCATAGTAGATGCATGTGCAAGGCAATCATTTCCCCACACCCCTTCCCCTCTATAGGAGTGAACATTCCCCTAAAATTTCAAACACCAACCCCCTTTTTTCAGGCGTGTCACAATACTATAATTCTTAACGTAAATAAAAATGTATTTGAATATTCAAAATTGGCTGATATGCCCGTACAGAGAATTAGTTAAATAAATAACACATTTAATAAGTTACAAATAGTTTTATCACTTATAACAAAATATCTATTACCTCCTAAATTAGGAAACACCCCCCCCCCCCTCCCCCAAATAAAAAGCTGAGGAACATACTGCCACAGGGTCATATTAGAAACGAAAGGCGCGAGTAAACATCGTATGTAAGAGACTATGGGGAATTCCACGATTCACAAACCCTGGGCTGCTAACCATGATTTGTCTTATTAGCTTGCGTATCTCTTCAGAAAACATCTTTCGCACAAAAATATATGTTTGATGTCATATTATTTAGTTCCCTGAGGCTTTTTAAAATACCAATTTCGATGAATATTGGCGGCAATAATATGATAAATTATTTAAACATATTAGATAAAATATATTATCCCCCCCCCCCCCCCCAATAAAAAATATATAAATTATGTTTCGTCAGAAGAAATCTGAGTATGATCTGAAGAAAGCTCACAAATATACTGCGGAAAAAGTTATGTTTTTTTATAACTTCAATACTAATTCGTTTAGGAATCCTTGCGGCGACACCAACCTTCGTTGCTTTTGATTTCACAGTTATCTTAGAAGCAATTACACACGACGTAACACACGTCAACATTGAGAAATGAAAATTAACTCGTCTTGATTCAAATAATCACTTCAAAGAATCCAATTCAAACAAAATGGGCCTACGGCATTTTATTCGATCATAATAAAAATATAGTATCCGAAAGTGCAACAGCGTGTAAATCAGTTTTTAAGGCCACTGGCCTCTAAATGTCAATCAGATATGTGTAATCGTGGTTCCTATAACAGAAAGTAAATGAGTTTTCCCGGCGTCGACTGACCACCAAACCGCGACGATCGCGAACGCACTGGTACAAGATGCGCAATTTTTAATTTTGACGATGTCATCACACACAAATTCATAGTGAATCTGATAGAGCAGCGGTGTTCAACCTGCGGTACAGGGGCTTTTGAAGTGGTACACAAACACTTTTGAATTATTGCAACAACTAACTTTTAAGCCAAAATATGGCACAACGCTTTCTCCTCATATTCCATACTGTATGTATTCGCTGAACGGGTTTATAGCGATACCAGTCCTTGTCTTTAGAGATCGGCCTCGTCCGTTTTGCGTGTTACGGCACAAAGGATTGGCCATAAAATACATCCATAGCGCGTTTCTTGTGCCATTGTCCCCCCCCCCCCCCAAATAGGGGCTTTGTCGGTGGTACAAG